GCTGTCGTCTTTTTGTCGATATTCATAGAGGGCATGGTGCTGCTACGTCCCCAACCATCTGAAAATGAAAGCAGGTCCTGATCACGGACGTACCACAATCTGCCTCTGTTGCTGAAGAGGCTTCGTGGCCTTGATAACCTTGACGACGATCGAACTGGAACAATATTTCATAACTGCAGCACTATGAAGAAAAGTTTCTAAGTTTCTTAGTGGAGACCTCTACGTAGTCTTTAACCCTCGTCCTTTCTATTCCGATCTTGGGACTCGTTGTAGCGGAGTTCTGATTTAACGGAGTGACGTAAGTGAGTCAGTAACGTTGAAGGCATTTTCGGCCTAAAACCCAAAGTTGAAGTACTTTGATTCCATCATGCAAGATAAGAAAAAAACTGACTGCAAACTAAGAAGTCGATAAAGCTGCCTGTCTGAAATTAACAGACGCGAGCGACCTGCTGATCTGGAAAAAACCTGTAAAAATATTATTAAGCAAAAGCCTATATATGAAGATAGTAATGTCGTTAAGATTGAGGTTGGTAACTGCACCCCGTGCCAAGCTAAGTCAAAATTCACAAATGACCTCTATCAGAAATGTGAATGTTCAGGTATATATGCTGTATAAACAGGTAGGACCAGCGCGAGTTATTTGGCACCTACCTGAAGTAATATTTAGAGTCCACTGACCACGTTAATTCGGTGCCTTGCGAAAATAGGCAAAGTATTATGCTACTTGTTCAGACAGCTGAGTTTCTCAGGTGATGTGTTTTCTTTTACCATGTTCCGCCAAATCACGTATGCTTGCTTTGAAAATATTTCTCAAAAGCAGATCTGCCTCTTCCTTGTTCCTCCATGTTGTTGCAAGCCCCATGGTCGACGTCCAAGCGTTTCGGTTGTCTCACTGTTGGAGTAAATGGCTTAAGCTCCGCTAGTTTGTATACAGGGCGAATCTCCTTTTGTCAATCTCTCCGCTACGGTGCACATCTGGATCCGGAAAAAGATGTAGTCATTCCCTGCTTGGTCGTGCCATTGAACCATCATTGAGTGTCGTACACAGTTCAACCGCCATTTTTAGTCCATTGAAAGGACTGTTTTCTTGCAGTACAGTACTGCTGACCTGACCGAACCGAAGTATTCACATATGTCTGTGGAAAGAGTTACTTTTTCCTCAGCTCAAATATTGTACACGTTTTCAAATTCACTCGAAGCCAATCCGTTCCTGGTTAGAGATGATGGAATCGAATATTTACGAGCACTGCCTCTCAATATAATCTTCCATATTCATCGGCGAATTTCGTAACCTATATGCAAAAAATTAGGCATCCTCGATGCGCAATCCGACACACCCGAAAAGCGTGCAAACAATGACATTAAGAACTGCTCAGAGCTTCCCCGTGCTTTTGCACTGGAATGATCAACAATTTGCCGGCTGTTATTAGTAACGTTTCCTTCAGCAAATGAACATAGGCTAGTTTAGTCACATATGAACTAAATTCGAACAGCTCTTGATGGACATAACTTCAGGCCAGTGGAAAAATCACTGAATCGTAAAATACTACCGACTGCTTGCTTAATTACTGTGAAAGAAGTCATTTATCCATTTAGGTCGGCATGCCAAGAAAAACTCAAGCGTCACGACTCAGTGGACATTGTTGTTACCGTTGTTTTGTAATCGGTTAAACATGGTGTTACAAATCGATATTAGGCAGCTTTCACTGCTTCCGTTTTCAGAACGTCTATCTACCGGAGCGAGGTGCTTCCACCACTTGTACTGCTCTCCGAAGCCGTTGTGGCCAGTAGGCGCTTTCCACGTCAGTACGGCTTTTAGAAGAGTCCCGTTCTCTTCCAGGGCCCTGTGATCCAACAGAGTTACGCGGGTACTGGCTGATCTGATACTAGTCTCAGACGACTGATCGAGAGTCCCGCACGTTCGTAACTTTGTGTCACGATAATAATTGGAGGATAGCTAGTAAACAGAGCCGTTGGAAGCTGTCATTACGAGTTTCATGACGTTTGAAAACTGCAGGCGCCTTGAGACCGTCAAAAGCCTACGATGAGCAGCAAATATGGTTGCTTTCAGGATGATGATCGATGCATCAGTTCTTGTACTTTCCTCTTACCATATGTCACACAGCGTGCCGATTCCGGTCTAAATTACTGGCTCACTTCCCTATCAATATGACCATTGTTAGCAGTGGAACACAGTTCCGATGTAATGGAATTCATCA